TTCCCATGGAAAAAGGCATGCGAGTTCAATTCTTGTCAAGAGTCTTTTCTTTATTAGTGAGCTACAGTGTTTGCTAATGAATATTGAATGATGGTCTGAGTGGTTTCAATGGAAAGCAACTAGAATTAAGATGAAATAAATATTAGTTCAAAATTAATGATGGTAGCCAGCAGGAAGGCATATGTATAGACTCATGTTTAAATTCTTGTTTTGTTGCATTCACCTTCACATAAATGCCTTTTTAGAAGATATTGATACATTTATTCTGTATGTTTAATAAATCCTACTTGGGATATCAATGTTTATAAATATTTAGTAGATAAAAAGTGATTACATATTAGATTAGCGGATTTGGATTAGAGAAGAGAAGTTGGACACTAAGAATAAAAAATTCTTTCTGAATTTCTAGGCTGAAGAGTTATTGTTATTTACATATGAACTTTTGTCACCATCTTTATTTTCTGTTTGGATGGTTATTTATTTTTGGCTGGGCCTACGGGCTCAGAGATACCCACATTAAAAAGGCCTTGTGCCACATTCGATCCCCGTGGGTGGATTGATAAATACCATCTTTATTTTCTCAGTGTTTTAACTGTTATGTCTTCCTTAGGTACTTGTCAGTCTAAATAACCTTTATTGAAATAATGAAGTGAGCAATAACTGAGCAGTACTAAATAAGAACAAGACTAATTATTCCTTGACATAGACAGTTGAATGAGAACAATCTTACCTCTAGTAGATTTAATAAAGGGTTCACTTTGAAATTCTCTGAAGTTTGCTCAGATTGATAGATACCAAGAAGGCAGTTTCCCAATGGCTGAAATGTTGTGATAAAGATGAGAACAATAGTCTGTAAACAGTGTAAATAAGTGTTAAAAATAAGTTTTGTTTTTAAGTAGGCTTTCATAAAAAGTTAGATATTAAATATAACAGATTAAAGTTATAAAAAAAAAAAAACTAATTTGCAGGAATATTATAAGTGACATTCTTGCTTTTCTCTCCACTCCCAAAAACTTTTTTTTTTCTTTCTACTAGAACTTTCCTCTATGTTTCCATGGCCACAGTTTTGGGTGCTACTTGTACACGATTTTCTCTTCAGAACAACTATATGATTGCTGAAAAGGTAACTTCATCCCTTTTTCTTCCTTTTTTTTTTCCTTACATTAATAGACCTGATAATTACATTTAGGTTAAAAATACATTAAGGAATAATTTAGTTAGTATATGAGGATGAACAGAAAATATTCAGCCATTTTACTTTTGTGCTATGTCCTTTCAGAATGTGGATGATAATAACAGTGCACAACTTGTTTTTCTTACTTTAAGTAATTTTTGTTTCTTTATCATCTCTCTTGTCCTTGTACAGCCATCCATTCACTCAAACACATTAAGTATGTTACTTGCTCTTTCTTCCTGCTTTTCTTGCTTTCAATGTGTCTTGTTGAATATTAAATTCAAGAGTTCTTTCCTTATGTGTTTCAGAAATTTCAGATGCCTTTTTTGATTGTTAACTGCAGTTTTCTTGTAGTTTTGGTTCTTCTTCAAACTTCCTTGTTGCTCACATATTCTGTCTATTGTATTCTCAGCATTTATTGGGAGAACCACATTTCTGCTGCTTCAAGTTGCTTTGATTGTTCAGCATTCACTACCACAAAGGAGGTTAGATATTGCATCACAGTTTGGCACTCTTTTCTTTTTTTCTCAGAACATTTTCCTATCTCATAATACTTTGCATACTTTCTTAAAGGCATTTTTTGCTATTCTTATGCACCTTCACATTTCCATATCACACTTTCCATCATTTGTTACTATCCAGATACTTAAATTTCTATACCTGCTTGATTTTGATGTCCCCATTATGTAGCTCACACCTGGGATTGTCTCTTTTGCTGACAAATATTCATTTTCTTTTCTTATTGTGAATGGTTATTTTTTTTTCTTGCTTCTATTTTTTTTCTTTTTTTTTTTTTTAAAACTTGTCCAATAGTTCTTTTTTTTTCTTTTTAGCTTAGCCCTGAGCACAGTGTTATCTGGAGATCTTATGTTAGGGTGATTTCCATGAATAATAAATCCTGGTAGGCCTTCTAGTTCATCATTTCATAGGACAGGTTAAATAAATTTGGTCAGAAAACTCTTGTCATATTTCTCTTTCTATTTTTGTGTATTCACTGAACTTTGCATAAAAAAATAAAAAATCCATGTTTTTATAGATTATATTTTTTTCTCTTCTGTTGTCATGGAAGTTCATTCCAATTTATTCATTCCATCTCTGTAAGATCTTTATTTTGTCCATTATGATTATTTTCTTTGTTAAAATTTTACACATCCTGTTTGAAGAGCCTGTTTTGTGTTCTGTTAATTTTTTTTTCTTTTTATGTCTTTTTGTTGAGTCATTCCACTTTTGCTTACTTGCATTTATTTCTAATATTTTTTTTTAACATCATATATTCTGTGCCATTTCTTGGCATTATTTGCTGTCTCTCTTTCATTAGATCAAGAATATTCCCTGTCATCCATATTTTTTTTTATTTTGTTTCTTTTTCCTTGGAATGACTTCATTTGCTGTTATCACTTCTTTTATGTACCCTGTCCTTTCAGGACATTGGCAAGTATAGCAGTTCACAACATCCTGTCCTTTGTAGCTCTCAATAAATTTTGTCTTTTCACCATCTTTCCTAAACCTTGCTCTGCCATCCATTCACTCAAGCCTACCAGGTAGGTTGTGTGTTGTTTTCCTATGACTCTCTTGCCTTCAATCTCTGCTGTGAATATCAAATTTTCCAAGCCTTCTTTCCTCATTATGTGCTCCAGAAATTTCAACTGTCTCTTCCTGATGTTAAGTATGTGTCATTTTTGTTTCCATTTTCTCCGAAATGTCATTGCTCATACATTTGTTCCATAGTATTCTCAGCATCCTTCTGTAGATCAAAATATCTGTTGCTTCAAATCTCCTTTCATTTGTCCAGCATGTCCACCATTCACTATCATATAGGAGGACCAATATTATATAACAGTTCAGTACTTTTTTCTTTGTTGCTAATGAATTTTTTGTTTCTTAATACTTTGCATCTTTGGCTATTCCAATGTACCTTTGGATTTTAGTGTTGCACTTTCTGTCCACTGTTAAAACACTTCACACATAAATTATTGTACTTTGATTTTGGCATCTCCAATTTGTAATTTGCATGTTGAGCTGTTCCTTTTGCTGACAACCATGCGTTCTGTCATCTTGCAATTTATGTTTAGTCTTTTCTTTTCACTTTCCTTCACTACCTTCTGTTGGAGTTCTTGTAGTTTCATATCTGTGTCTGATATCAATACTACATATCTTACATTAAGATTGTGGCCACCAATAAGAAATTCTGGTAGGACTTTTAATTCTCTTAGAATCACCTCACTCTATAGGTTGAATAGGTCTGGTGAGAAGACAAATCCTTGTCTTACACATCTTTCTATTTTTGTATATTTACTGAACTCATTTTCTGTCTGTATGCAGATTGTTTGCTGCCAGTATAGATTCTGGATTATTCTAATATCTTTCCCAAATATGTTTAGGTTACTTAGCAGTTTGAACAATTCTTTGTAACGTATTTATCAAATGCTTTTGCATAATCTATAAAATACATGTACCCTTCATTCTTTATTTGTATTATTCTGTCTGACATCATTCTGTGCAAAAATATAACATTCTTTATTCCCCTGTCTTTGATTAACCTGCACTGTTCTTGTCCTTTTAGTGGTCTTATTCTCCTTTGCACTTTATTCATTAGAATTCAGGTGATAAGTTGATCATGGATCATTATTCTGATTGTCTGATGGAGTTTCCCATTTGTTTGAACTTGGATTCTTAGGTAGTGCTATAAAAATTGTTCTATTTAAGTCTTTTGGTATATCACCACTATTGTATATTTCCTTTATTATGTATCTGTGATCTTGTCAATGCTGAAATCATCTAAGTCTGCCTGTATCTCTATAATTCCTTCTGGCCCTGCTGCTTTATTTCTCTTCAGTTTGGCCAGTGCTGATTCCGCTTCAGATTTTAATATTTTTGGTCCTTTGATATTTCTATGTTTTGATGGTTATAGAAAAATTCTCTGATGTATTCATTCTATTTCTGAAGTATTTTTTTCTTTCTTTAATATCAGTGTTCTTTCCTTGGATTGTAAACTTCCTTTTGATTGCCATGTCTTTTGTCCTCTTAGTTCTCTTATTCCTTTATGCATATCTATTTTATCTTTGGGATACTCATTCTTTCTATTTCTGTACATTTTTCATTGAGCCATTCCTCTTTAGCCTCTCTGCATTTGTTCCTAATTTCTTTATGCAGAATCCTATATTCTGTGCTGTACCTTGGCATTACTTTTTGTCTACTTTTCATCAACCATCCATTCTTTTTTTTTCTTTGTTTGTATTTCTTTGGGATGATCTTGATTACTGATGTTACTAAAGCTTTACTTAATGTATCTTACTTTGAGTTTCCAATCTCATTTTGTCCAGTGGATCTGTTTTAACAATGTCCATATATTTCCCTTTCAAATGTTGGTCATTCAGGAGTCTGTCATATTGTAATTTGGGTTTTACCTTGGCCCTCTTCAATTTCTGTAGTTTCATTCTAACTGGAAGGTGGTTTCTCTCACAGTTGGTATTTTTGGTACATTTTGTAGTGTAAAACTGCATTCCTGAATCTTTTATTGATAGTTATATAATTGATTTGGTCTTTCATTTCTCTTCCTGGACTTCTCCATGTCTATATATGTCTTGGGTGTTCTTGAAACTAGGTGTTGGCTACTATCTGATCATTCACCATGCAACATTGGACCTATTTTCTCTGTGTTCATTATGAATTCCTAGTCTGACTTTGCCAAGTATTTCACTATCTCTCCCCTTGCCTACTTTGGCATTCAGATCTCCCATGATAATAGTAATTTCTTGTGATTTGCATTGAGACTTTGCACTGTCTAGTGTACACTAAAACTTTCCAATTTCTTTTTCTGTACTTTGTGCTGTCAGTGCATAAACAACTGTGATATGTTGAAAGCCTTTCCTTTCTGTTTAATGACAAGAATTCTTTTAGATAGTTGAAAGTATCCCAGAACGCATTTCTTTGTGTTTAATATCTGTCGTACTCATCTTTCATTTTTCTCTCCACCTGCATATATGATCTTGTATTTTTCACTGACAAAATCTCCATTGTATGTCCACTCCATTTCACATGTGCCTAAAATATTAACTTGTTCATTTCCTGTTTTGTTTTCTAATTGACCAAATTGGTTTAGTGTTCTAATATTCCATGTTCCAAGAAATGGTCAGTAACTCAATATGGAACACTTTAACAGAAGAACTAGTGATAAAAGCCATGAATTGGCTGTTATCACTAGTATTTCCTTTAAGGTGTTCTATGTTGAGTTACTGACATTTTTCAAGGTTCTTAACTATGACTGCATATGTTTATTTGCAAATTGAGTCATTCTGGTGTTTGTCATATTGTAGTTTCTAAATATTTTTCTGATTATTAGGTAGTCTATTTGTTTGTTTATATTGTCTTCTTCCAAGGTTTTTCATGTCCAAAAATGTCTTGGATGTCATTCAGATTAGGTGTTAGTTATTACTTGGCCATCTGTTTATGATAACACAATAATTCACCTTGCAGGAAGAGAATGTATTAAAAGACAGGACACCAGATCAACAGAGATATACTTTTTTTTTTTTTATCAAAATGTTTGCTATCATAATAGGAGACTGTTTGATTTTTATAAAAGATGTTTATGCAAAATGACAGCAGTTATTTTAATACAATTGAAAACTATTTCCGTGTCCTGTTTTCAAATATGTTCTCTTCCTGCAAGATGAATTACTGTGTTATCATATAATTTGCTGTTAGCACCAATGAACACATTTTTTTTGTATCTTTTTACATAATCTAGAGAGGGTTGCCCATTGTCCAGTTCACATGCCTCCCCAGTTTCTTGAACAGGAGTAGAAGTTTATCCCTTGTTTCCTGTCTAGAATTGGGTTTCCTTCTAAAGTCTTCTCATTCTCTTTTACTCCCAGTAGCCCCTTGCATCTTAGTACCATTATCACCTTGCTTGGAGGTAAATTAAAAAAAAAAGAATGTTGATTGTTTCTTTTCTCCTTTTATGTTTAGGTCGACCCATGATGATAAATTCTTGCAATTTGCATGGGAAAGAATATTTAAGTTTTATATCATAGTAGATAATATCAAATATATTATCTGCTATGATATAAAACGTAAAAATTTCTTTCATATTTTGTGATGTGGAGTAATGGATAGCAGCTCAGATTGAGGAATTGGAGAGCCAAGTTCAAATTCCAGTCAAATCCATTACATCCAATTATGTGCTAATACTCTTGGGAAAGGTATGAATCCTCTTCTTCTGCCCTCAGCTATGAATAAATAGCAGGACAGACCGGGTTCTATAGCCTTGGATGGCAATGGGTCTACTGCAGAAAGAAATGGCAACCTACCGCAGGGAAAAAAAATTACCTTGTCAGTCATGTATCGAAAGATACATGATTGCCTAAGCATGTATCACGCAACTGAATATTATAATAGAAAGGATGCAACATGACACTATTCCATTAAGTTTCCCAAGAATTCATAGCAATTCACAGATAATAGGAAAAAGAAATCTATGAACTGTCATGAGTGTTTGCATCCTGAAGAGACATGACATTAGAAAATAATTAATTACTACAAAAATTTAACAAGTCACTATATTTATAAGAATTTGTACTGTTCCTTATTTTCATCAATAAAACCTCTTTCTTCTTTCTCAATATTAATTTTCTTTGTCAATCTAACATTGATCATTTGCAGGTTGCTGTTATTGGAGTGCTCTTTCTAGCAGGCCTTTATATATCATCTGTATCATCTTGCATGGGAAGCTTGTATGGCCCTCCCAGGATCTTGCAGTCCATAGCCAATGAGAATGTGATTCCAATCATCAAACCTCTTGGACAAGGAGTAAGTACCTTCTATAATAATATATCTATTTGTATAAGATTTGATTAATAAGGTCTCCTAGTGAATTGATAGATAAAAAAGAAGAATATTTGAATATGTATTTGACAGTATATAGTTCTGTTCAAACATGCTTATTGGTCAGGACAATTGCAGATTCTTTGGATTTTTCAAGAATCTCAAGATGTATGGCAGGAGCACCAGACTAGATGTGGCAGCAATATTCAATGCAGGAATGAATGGTAAACTTATAAACATGCATGATAGATTCTGGTGAGAAAAAGTGTTTGGCATGACACAGTCAACCAACTTTCTTAGCTGCAGACCTAGCATTTGATTCAATATAATTCAATAATATTTAATATAATCTTTCCACTTCATGTCAATGGAAAATGTGAAATTGAGAAGATGCAATGAGTTGCTCTTCTGGAGGTCAGCATCAGCCATGCTGATAGAGGGCAAAAATGGTTCTTTCTGTTATCTGCATGTGTTCATAGTCTTGTTTTTTTTAGAATTCTTAAGGTAGGACTTTGCTTCTGTCTGTGTTTCTGGGATGAAGAATTATCATTATTTACATGCTAACTATTGTCTTCATTTTTGTTGTTCTTATAACATTTCAGCCATTGTGCTCTTCTCCAGGCCTTCATCAGATGTCCTTAGACATCTGCCATAGAACATAGATTAAATAAATGGTTAACTTTGAAATTCCCTGTAGGTTACCTGAATTGACATACACCTGATGAAAACCAGTGAGGACAATGGCCAAAACAATGTGATAACAACAACAAAGATGAGGAAAATAATCAGTATGTAAATAATGTAAATAGGAACTTTGTTTATTGGAAAAATATTAAATCTGTGGATCTCATTAAGCTCCTTTTTTTTTTTATTCTCATTTGGATTCTTTTGGAATGGTTAAACCATTGGTAGAGTTCTTGCCACTCACTAGCAACAAATAAAAATCAGCATCAAAGCTTTTAAGAAACTTTAAATTTCCATAAGCAGTAATTTCCCATGTACAATTTTATTGCCTTTTTTTAGCATTTAAAGAACTGTAAAATTTAAGTATAAAAAAGCCACAAGATAAGTAAAAATTAATTTTTTGCAAATAAATTTTGTGAATTTGTTGAAAATTGATAATGTTTTTTTAATTAAGATAATGGATATTATTGGATAAGACATTAAAGTTCTCTGTGATGATTTTCTTGATGTAATTCATGTGAGTTATTTTGTGTTGTCTTCATAAGTTGAGGATGAAGAAGTGAGTTGAAAAAGATCAGCAACCCATGTACTAATAAAGTCTTTTATCACAATACCATTACGTCAGTATTTATGAATTAGGTTTCAGTTGAATGACATTTGAGTCTATATTCATGGAGTGATCAGAGGATTAAAAAAAAAATCACTATCATTGAATTTCAGCTTTCACTACCAGAGACACAGACATTACCATAGAAATCAGGAGGTCAAGATTTTTATCAATTTCTTTCAAAGACTTTTGATACATTTGAATGTATCATTATCACTTGTAAATTTTCTTGTCAGTTTTCAGTTGATGACCAGTGTTGACTTTTTGCTTAGTGCTTTTGTTTTGCTCAGTGTCTTCCTTTGTTTGTTCAGTGTTTCTTGATATTTGCCTTTTTCTTTTTCTTTTTTTTTGTGATTTTCTTTTGTGCACCCATCACCTGTGTTTTTTTTTGTTTTTATTTCTTTATGAATTTTTTGTTTATTGTTTCTTTGGATTTTCTGTTTTTTCTTTTCTTTTCTGTGTTTGTTTGTTTCCTGTGTTTTTTTGTTTGTTTCCTCTGTTTGTTTGTTTCTTTCTTTCCTCTGTTTGTTTCTTTCTTGTGTTTGTTTGTTGTTTTGGGGCTTATATATTCAAGACAAATTTTTTTAATAGAAGTCAGTTTTGCTAACCCGTTTTTTATTCTCTTTGCAGAAGGGAGCCAATAAGGTACCGGTCAATGCTCTGATAGTGGTTACCCTTGTGACCCTTCTATTTATTGTAGTTGGAGACATCAATACTCTTGCTCCAGTGGTCACTACTACCTTCATGCTCACTTATACAGCTGTTTGTTATTCCTATTTTGCCCTGGCCATGAGTTATGACCGCCGAAAACAACGTGAAGACAAATTCTCTGAAGAAAAACAACCAGTCACAAGCTTGACGGTAGAATCTGCTACAAAAGAATCAGCATCTTATGGTTCCACAAACCAAACAGTGGGGCCAATGGTTTATGAAGATTCCTTCCAGCGTTTTGCCTCAGACTTGGACAAATTGTTTCCAGAACGCTTAACTCATCGTGGTCAGCACCATCTTGCAAGGCAACATTCTGATTCTAACTCTCCGACAACACCTGAAGAGGCAGTGTTTGATGCTACAGCTAAAAACCTGGAGGCATCTCCTGGGGATATAAGTAGTTCAGAAATGGGGGATACTACACAACTCCTGAAAGGCAATGACTCTAAATCAGGTATAAGGATTTTTTTCTAATATTTACAATAAAAAAATTATAACACTGTTAAATCAATTTGAAATTCAGGAAAGGAAATGGATCCATTGAATGTGTGTCTAAATACTAAGCTAAAATCAAATCCATATTATTAAAGAGCTGTCCATCACACACCATATGCCTGTGACTTTGCATATGGCATATATATATCTCATCATCATCCACAGACAGACTTTGGTGTATCCCATCTCATCAGTGTGGCTAGACATCTGATCACTTCAAGCCAGGATTGAAACCTGATCGATTTGGCATCAGTCGGAGATTTTAACCCCTAGGCTATTGGCGCCTGGCAGAGAGGCAAATTTTTGCATATTTATTTTTTAAACAATCACGCCAGTGACCTAGAGAACTCAATCCATTGGGAGAGTATTGCATTATCAGCAGTAGTAGTCACTGTTTACAAATTTGCACTTTCTCCCTACAGTGCTTGACTGAATTTTTTTTTTAGCTAATATCGTCATCCACAGACAGACTGTTTTACTGTATCACATCTCATTAGTGTGGCTAGACATCTGATTGCTTCAAGCCAGGATTGAAACCCGACTGATATACACACACACATATTGTTGTGTTCTGTGTCATCTTTTGGTTCCCACACTACTACATAAAATGGTATCAATGAAAAGGACCATTTCATTTTCTCATTTGTTTTATTAGGAGAGAATGGTGGCAGCTTGGATTCTTAGAGGCAGTTGGAGGAATGAGGTCAAAGGAACACATATTTCACATTGGCTTAGCATTCCTCCACAGGTGGTCTTAGCTGATCTCTCAACCAGCATGTGAGAGGCATATCAATGCTTCAGAATTCTTGTGGCTCTCTGTTGAATTCACATCATTTTGAAAGTACATCCAAAATCCAGACAAAGGCAATCTATCACTGTCAAGATACCATGGCCACAAAGCACTATGGCCGATTGCTGACTATTCTGGCTCTGGTCTTCGCTTTCTGTAACAATATGTCTACCTGCTTTAACCTTTTTAATGGGATATCCCAATGAAATCTGATTCTCTGTCCCTCACATATTGTCTGCATAGGATTTTACAAGCATGTATATGATTTATGTCTGTATTGTGCATGAGTGATATTTATTTTTTTTTTATCATTCTATTCCAAGCAATGCAACAAAGCCACTAAGATGTAAAGTGTTACTGAGTGATAAAGAATATGAGAAGAGACTTTAAGGAGAGAGAACAATAAAAAGAACAAGAATTAAGAAGACAGAAGATAATGACTGACATTGCATTTAAAGTTTTGAAGATCAAAGTTGACTGGGAAGCAAGAGGCTGGAAAAGATTAACCAGTTAATTATTACTTATTACTCTTCGATAAAACATCAAGTAATATATATAGAGATGTTGTGATGATATAACCCAACTTCCCCATTGCCGATTAAGTATGACCACAGCGGACAGTCGAAAAGTCTTCGTTTGTTAACACCTATGGAGGTTAGCATACTCCCAACTCTGTCTCTGTATTTGACACACCTACATCCGATTATAAACCTATTATTGAAAACCAACACTCGGGTTACTTTGTTTATTATATCTTGCACGAGATATAACAAGAGAGCTATGTATAGCCAACTTTTCCATGGTAAGCGTTATGTAGGTTGTCCTTGGTTACACTTCAAGGACAAACTTAAATACAATTGCTGCAAACATTACTATACAGGAGTTTGAACTTGCTGTTGAAAACCGAGCAAACTGGAGAAACACTTGCTACTGAGGTATAACTAACTTTGAAAAGAATCGTCTCAACTATATGAGAGAAATAACACTAAATCTTGGGCTAATACATCAACCCATATGATGGCTTCAGTATGCCCTTCGTGTGGATTTATTTGCAAATTCCATGCAGGATTGTTGTCTCATATGAAACATAAACATAAAAACCATCATAATCATCATATATATATATATATATATATATATATATATATATATATATATATATATATATATATATAATATTTTACCCCAGGCAGGTCAATAAAGTCGCTAAGATACAAGGGGTTCCTGAGTGTGAGAGAACATGGAAAAAAAATTTCTTTAAAGAGAGAGAGTAATAAAAGAACAGGAATTAAGAAGACAGAAGATAACGACTGACATTGCATTTAAATTTTTGAAAATCAAAGCTGACTGGAAAGCAAGAATCTCTTGATGTCAATTTATTTTCAAGATTCATTTTTTTTTTATTATCATCATACAAAATTATTATTTTTTTTTAATGCCATTACTCTTGTAATTATTGTGAATCTCTAAATATATAGCAGGAGCAGTAGACTAGATGTGGCAGAAATCCAATCCCTGACCATCCTGGCCTTGACCTTTGCATTCTGTAATATTAGCCAATTTTGACACAAGGCAAAATTTATGTTTCTAAATTCTTACACTTATCTTCACCTTTTATTTATTTTTTAACATTTTTTTTTTTTTTTTTTTTTTTTTTTTACAACTATTTTGGTTTGTATTTTTCAGGTGCTCAAAAGAGTCCAAATACTGAAATCCACAAACAGCCCCAATCTTGGTATTCCTTATTTTGTAACCGTTGGATATCACTGTTAGGGGTAAGATTACAAATTATTTCTTTTCTTCTAGAGATTGTCAAAGAAGTCTTGGTCTACAAAGGAATGAGTTGGTCTTACAAACCAATAATAGTTGTCTCCATTTTCTACTCTAGGAAGACATTTCTTTTGTGTGTGGTTACAATGTGTCCAAAATTTGCAGATATCAGTGTGTATCTCTAATCATATACCTCTTAGTGCAAAAGGGAATTATTACCTTTTTGGCATATCTCTGGTCAGTAATATTCCTGTTTATTTTTTAAATTACCTTTTCTGAAGACAGACTCAAATTCATCAGGGATTTGCATTCATTCATATCCTTACTATGTTGTATAAAAGTTGAGGTTTTCTTCTTTATATAGTAGCCACTTGGGTAAATCAATATTAATTACAGATCCCAGAAAATACTTAAATTTTACTTCTGATTAGCCATTGAAGTTGCTTGCCAGGGTATGGATTCTGGGTACTAAAGTAAATCTATATTGCTGGTAGTGAAAGCTGAAATCAGAGACATTCCTTTCTGAGCTTCTCTTGTTCACTGAACTTCCTTGTAGTTGAAAACCTGCACTATCTAATATTATTATTGTTCTTCCTGCATCTGTTATAGTTTTAGTGGGTATAAACAGGAGGCATTATTTTTGGAGCCACTCTTATGTGTGTGTTTCATGAAAAATTACTAACATGGTACTTTAGTTTAAGTTTTAGTGCTTTTCTTGTGTACAAACAAGAGATTTCTTTTTGGGTGTTAGTGTTAGTTTTTTTCTCTTTTCCTATTTCACAACAAAAATTCCTTGTGAATGGCTAACAAAATAGCTGAAAGCACTTGGAATGAACATTCATTCGGAAAATTTCTAGTTAGACAAAGTCCCCAAATGTCTGGTGTGCACACAAGAAAACAGTAACAAAACGGAAGTACCTTGTTAATTAACTTTAATGGAACTTGTATTAAGAGGGATTGCTTCCCATATACATAATTTTATATATATATATATATATATATATATATATATATATATACACACACACACACTGTGTATAGGCCGTTATCTAATCTATATCAGTATTTAATTTGCTTGCTTATCTCTTTTTGCAGAAGCCTAAGCAAATACACAAACATTATTTATTTGAATAACAGCATATAAAACCCATCTCCTTATCTATTTCAGTAGAGAATTAAGAAAGTAATGAGTTACTCTTATTTTATCCATGTTCCCTTTTTTTTCCCAGTTCAGAACAAGTTTTTTTTTATTTTTTTATTTTTTTGCATTTATTACAAATTTATGAAAGTTTAATATTTTCCAAAAGAAATAATAATAGTGCTTATATGCCATTAAATATCATTAATTTTATCTCTGTTCAATTCTGTTGATTATTGTTTTTCTTTTAATCATTTCACCCCAGACATGTAAATAAAGCCACTAAGATGCAAGGGGTTACTGAGTGTGAGAAAAAGAAAAACATTAAGCAGAGAGAACAATTAAAGACAGAAGATAATGATTGATATTTCATTTAAATTTTTGAAGATCAAAATTGATTAGAAATCAATAAGCTGGTAGAGAATTACACAAGCAATCTAGTACTGTGTCTATGTATCAAAGAGGAAAGCTCATCAGAACAATTACCATGAAAATATTTATAGAAAAGGTACAGTGAATCTACCTTACTCTGATGGGAAAGTGACTGAAACTGAGATGCCAGATCAGAATTAATAATATTGCAGATTCTTTTTTTTTTAAATTTTATCAAGAATCTCTAAATACATAGCAGAAGCACCAGACCAGATGTGACAGCAATATCCAATGCATAGATGAATGGTAGACTTATAAATGTGTAAGATAGATTCTGGCTAGAAAAAATTATCTAGCACAATACAGTGAACTAACTTTCTGAGCAGTAGACTTAGCAATTGATTCAATATAGCCTGTCCATATCATGTCAGCAGAAAACATTAGAACAAAAAGACACAGTGAATCACTCGCCTGGAGGTTAGCATCAGCCATGCAAATAAAAGGCCAAAAATGTTCTCTCAGATGATTAAAAGAAAGTAGTTTAATTTTGGAGGCATTAAAATTAACAAGTGTTAAAATTAACAAGCTATTTCTTATCCCAGTTAACAACAGACTGTAGAACATTTTTAAAATTAGCTGCCAATTTGACCTTTATCAAACCATTCAAACTTACCATTACTTATTGTTTTATTGAAAAAATAGGTTTTAATAGTCAAACAAGACTAGTTCTGTACTTTTTTTTGTTTAATCGGTATCACCCCATGCAAGGTATTAAAGACACTAAGACACAAAGGGTTACAGAGTATGGAAGAATTAGGAATAGAAACATTAATAATGAGCAGGAAGAGGAAAGTGTAATCAGGCCAGTAGATAGCGATTGACATTGCATTTAAATTTTTGAAGATTAATGTTGACTGAAAAGCATGGAACCAGAAGGGAGTTCCGCAAGCAATAAGTGCCATAAAAGAAACTGTTAGCATAGAATTTATGCCATTCTAGCACTGTGCTTAAATGCAAAACATCTAAGTACCATATTGAAGAGATCATCCAAATAATTACTATGAAAATATTTATAGAAGAGCACAGGGAGGCAACCTTATGGCAATAGGAAAGTGACTGGAACTGAGCTGCCAGATCAGGACCAATAATATTGCTGATTCTTCTTTGGATTTTATCAAAGAACTTAAGCTAAATAGCAGGGGCACCAAATCATATATGGCAGCAATATTCTAAACATGGGTGAATGGTAGACTTATAGACATGTAAGATAGATTCTGGAGAGAAAAATCTTCCTGTATGACACAGTGAACCAACTTATTTATTTCATTGATGACTGAGTTTATTTATTAAAAGTTTTCTTTGTAAAATAGAATAAAAATTCTCCTTTGAAAAATGTTATCTTCTATGCAATGTCTCTAAATTTCAAACTACAAAATAATGTAAAATATTGCTTTGTTCAGTAAACTGTGGAAAAAAGAGTAAAAGGAGTAACAACAATAGTGGCACACATGTCACAGCAGACATGGGTGAACTATAAAAAAGTTTATTGCAAGAAAACCTGTTATCAGTTATCCTGGGCATACACAATGTTAGTACATTGTGTGCCAAAAATGCAAACTTTTAGGCCAATAACAAGATTGATAAAATAAGGAAAAAACAATTACATTCATTCACATTGTTAATAAAACGAAAACCTTTTCTTTCCATTACAAATAACATAACATAAATTTAATTAACCTTGAGGGGTAAAAACATTTTCAAAGAACAATATTACCCCATGGATGTGTAAAAAAAAAAAAAAAAAACAACTTCAAAAGGAGCCTTCCCATATTGCTGTTGCATTTGAAGGAAGGGTACCTTGGGCCTTGCCATTTAGTAGCTGGATGTGGCTGTGAATTTGTTGTCTCTGGAATCACTGGTAATAAGTTGGGTTTGAATCTGTAGTTGTTCATTCTTCCTGCAGGGCTAAGAATTTAAGCAAGCAGTGACAATATGCCACAAAGGCAGTAATATTCCTATTCATCACTTAAATAGGCCTTGCAGGGTCCTCATGATGAAAGATTTAAAGAGTGATTTCATCCTTAATCTAGGTATTTCCAGAAGGGCTGAATGTTGATTAGTGGAGAGAGTTGTGATGTCATTAATCCTTTAGCTGCCAGGATGAGTCATATAATTATGCTGCCAAAATGTTGAAGAGTCAAGATGTCAGCAAAATCCCTTCAATAGAAGCTTTCAGAACCCAGAAATTCCACAATAGTAATATAGTTTCAAAATCAATAAAAATATTTTTATAACATTTTATTCTAGTTTATTTATTATAGTACATGAAAAAAGTTCTTTCTAATATTCTTTTATTAAGTTTTGTCAGAAGTGAAGTCTTTTTTTTTTAAATTCAAAAATAATATTTTGTAGTTTAATCTCATAATTACTGAAATGTTACTAAAAGATAGTGGCATTTTAAGAAATGAGAAATAAAGGAATTCATTAATAATCATTATCTGTTGTAGTTTTAATAAGTTCTTTTATTACTGATAAGGTACGACTTTAGCATACATAGAAGCCCATTTACACAATAACCAGATCATGTTTGTGGACATTCATAACTTGTATATGATTAGTCCAATCCATTGTAGATAATTATCTAGTACTGAGAGATATGCAGGAATAGTTATCATTCACTACTAATCACCTACAACCTGTAAAAAGTCCATGAAGATCTCTTTACTATTCATGCATATTATTTCTTTTTGAACTACATTAGGTTACTGAAAAAATGACATAGTTATATGAACATTTTTGTTTTATTATTAAAACTGTTGTCTTGGAACTTTGTGATTTCATATTATTTCAGTTGCCTAGAATAAATTTCAGATAATTTTTGGATGCATAGGTAGTGTAATAGTTATCAGTATGAAAGTGACCTTTGGAAAGACATGAGTCCATCTCTTCTCCTTCTAGCTATGGGTTAAGTAGCAAGGTAGACTTGGCTATCTAGCATTGGGTGGCAACCAGTCAAAGAGAAGGATGATTCTGAAATTAAAACTGGAGGAGGCAGCAAGAAACTACTTCATTATCTTTCCTAAGATGCCATATCAGTTCACAGGGGAAAAAAAAAGAAATGTGGAGAGTCATGATTGCCAATGTCCTGAAGAGACATGGCATTAAAAAAGATGTTCTTTGGTGACTGATTCTTGAGTCCTATAAAGGAAAGCCCAAACTACCATATTTAATGGCATATAAAATCTACTCACCTTTTTTTCCATAAAATAATATCTTCCATGCCACGATAATTCTTGAGAATGCATGAAAATTCACAGATAATAAAGACGTATCTGTGGAGAGTCATGATCACCGACATCTTAAAAGGACATTATTATTATTATTATTATTAACCATATAAACATCTTATGAAATATATCTTTCAACTACATGTTACATCTGTGGTTCTGTAGCAAGTTGAATTTTATGGAGCAGAGTTGCTAGTCCCTACATTCAACGGTTTTTGAATTCAGTTATCTTTCTTTTAGACCATTGTTTATTTTTTTTTTTTTTAATAAGTTCACTCCTATACAAGACAGTAAAGACAGGTTATTGGGTGTGAAAGAATTAGAAACATTACTAATGAGCAAGAACAATAAGAGTAATCAGAAGGACAATAGATAGTGATTGACACTGCATTTAAATTTTTGAAAATTAAAGTTGGCTGGTAAGCATGGAGCCAGAAGCAAGAAGTACAAGAAAAGAAACTGTTAGCATAGAATTTACAGTTACATCTAGTCAACTCAACCATAAATTGATAAGGTCTCAATGGCAGTCAAGTACTGCACTTAAATTCAAAAAGTCTAGGTCCCATAGCAAAGAGCGCATTTGAACAATTACCATGAAAGTATTTAAAGAAAAGTGAGGCAAATTTAGGGTGATGGGAACTGATAATATTGCTGATTCTTCTTTGGATTTTATCAAAGAGCTCTAGATAGATAGCAGGGGTATCAGACCATATGTGGCAGCAATATTCTAAGCATGGAAAAATGTAGATATGTTGGATAGTTTCTGGAGAAAAAAATTGTCTTGTATGACACAGTAAACCAACTTTTTTAGCAGCTGACCTAGCAATGGATTCAAGCCTTTTCACTTCATGTCAGCTGAGAACATTAGCCTGAGAAAATGCAACATGTCACTTTCCTGGAGGTTAACATCAGCCAGACTGATGGAAGCTAGAAATGACTCTCTCAGATGATTAATAGAGAGGGTTTTATTTTAGGTGTTTAAATTTAACAAGCCATCTTTTGCCCCAGTTAACAATAGACTGAAGGATGTTTTGGACATTGGCTGTGATTTTGACTTTATTGAACTGAACAGATTTACTATTCAGACATGTGTAAATGGTTGTGTTGTCATTGTAGATACCAAATTGAGAGCTGATGCCAAGGATACTAACCAAAGCTAGAGAGCTAGTCTTCTTTGCTATTAATCCCTAGCTGGTGGAGAGAAGAAGTGGATTCATATCTTTCCCAAGGGTATTTGTGTGTGAAAACAAATGCAGTTAGCTCTCATTTTCTGCACTGATAACTGCACATCTACTGAAGAGACATGACTTTAAAAATTAAAAAAAAAAATTTATGACTACCATATATTTTTTTCTATTTCAGAGCTTTATCTGCATTATAGTGATGTTCTCCATTCATTGGATTTACAGTTTGGGTGAGATCCTTTGCTTTGTAGGCATTTACATGTACATAGGACGTGCAAGCCCAGGATATTTCCCAGGTGAGGATTTTTACCTATTGTTATCACTTGCATTATTGTTTTTATCAAAAGAGATACAGAACAAAACATGAAATCCTCTGATTATTTTATATATAAAATTAGGTGCATGATCAACTTTTCTTAATTGATATGGGACCTATATGGAGTCCATGATTCTGAGCCATACAATAGTTTGGTCAAACAGCTGCTCTATAAACCCATATTTTGGTGTTCAGTTTGATACTTCTCTCATTCCCTAAACAGTGACAAAGCTTCCCAAATACACTTGTAGCTTTGGCAATGCAATTTGTTATTTCATCATCAAGGGATGCATTTGCATTCATCTTACTTCCTAAATATATAAATGGATTCTCATACTTCAAGTTATTCCCATCAATCTGTATAGAAGTGTCTGGGAATTGATGAACTAGTGGGGTTGTCTAACACCCCAAAATGCTTTTGACAAGGAGATGGCTGGTAGATTACTTCTGTTTTCTTTATGCTAATTGTTAAGCCAAAAGCTTTGCATGCAACAGAGAAATGGTTGACAAGTTCTTGGGCTTCCTCTAGGGATGTTGCTACAAGTGTAGCATCATCAGCAAATAACAGATCACAAATGATGCTAGTTGAAAGAAGTGTTTTAGCTTTGAACTGCTGATAGTTGAAAAGGCAGACACTGGTTCAAAATTGAAATTTAACACCAGTGTCCATGTCACCAAAGGCATATTTGAATATTACTGAGAAGAATAGAGCAAAGTGAATAGGGGCCATGACATAACCTTGCTTTGTGCCATTTGAAACATCAAAGGAATCAGAATTCCCCATCTGATACAACAGCAGTTTTCATCCCCTCATGCAATGAGATTATAATATTCAACCTTTTGTCTGGGATTCCAAGCTTTTTTCAAGAACTTTCAAGAGTGTTTCATGATTCACAATGTCAAAGACTTTAGTAAGGTCAACAAACACCATATACAATTTCTGTTTGTTTTCATGCACTTTTTTAGCAACTGATGGAGAGATAAGATCATGTCAATAGTACCATGACTGGACTTGAAACCACGCTGATTCTGAGTAAATCTCATTGATGGCATGCTTGGTAATCCTGTTCAGAATCAGTCCTGCTAATATTTTACCAGTAATTGACATCAGAAATATGCCACAATAGTTGTCACAAGCATTTCTATTACCTTTGTTCTTGTATAGGAGTTGACTTAATGTATCCTTGTAGTCTTGAGGAACATGAACAGCCCTCTATATTACTTTGAAGAGCTTGTGTAACTTTTTGATTAACTTTTTACCACCATACTTGTAGATTTTGGGCAGAATAGCTTCCTTTCCAAATGCTTTGCTTGAAGTGATTTGTTTGATGGAGTCCAAGACTTCCTGCAGTGTTGGCTCAAAAGACATTTCTTGTATTTCAGGATTTTGAGAAATGGCTGCTATGATGCCTTCATCAGTGATGGATGGTGTGTTTAAAACAGACTTGAAGTGCTACTTCTAGCAGCGCAAGATATCAGACTAATCTATACTTTTGTTATGATGTTGATTTGGGGTTAGTAGAGACAAACGCCAAATAACACGTAACAATAAAAAGGGTTTTAATAGGTTGGTAAAAAGGTACAGAAATTGCCTGAGTAGTCAATAACTAGCTCAGCTAAGAACTTCTCTGTCTATCTGTCTTCCCCATGTCAACTGACATGCCACTATTTAAAGTCTTTGTTCACAGACGCAGAAAAGTTCATCTTCAAGAGGGGTGGTAGGTTTCCGACACAACAACTTTGTGTGAACTGCGCATTTGCTCTATGATTAGCTGGACTTCAATATGGCTTTCATCAAACCAGTCCCATGATGTCTTGCGGCACTTTGGTTTCTGAAAGTAGGTGTTGGTGATTACAAGATTGAATTTTCTGCAAATAGAAAAGAGGCACAGGCCATTGGATTTCATTCATCCCAACACCATGATGACCCAGCACACCATCTTAGACCTGGTGATTGTTACCCACACAAGCATTGAGGTCCCTCATTAGAATAAGTTTATCCCTATGTTGGACATGGGAGATGAGATATATTTCCACATATAAAATATGTTGCGTATCCATATGCACATACATTTCTGTTAAAAAAACAAACTTTTCACAGAATGCACAGATACTACACCATTACATTGTAGAATTGCTATAAAACGAAACTTTCAACCTAGGAAGAGCATGCAAATACTTCACTGATCTTAGGGAAAAATGTTAATCCATACATAAATAAACTCATCAGTTTTGATGGGCACTATGCTAAGAATCTGTTTGCTACTCAATGTTCTTACTATGAAGGATTTTAATGTATATAATTTTTTTCTTTTTAGGGATTGCTGAATTTAACTTATATGACTGGATTAAAGGTGGCATTTTAATTTGTATTAGGTAAGTAAAATAAAAAAAAAATGTCTTCATCTTTAGTTTTAATAGTTTTCCTGTGTATAAACTGGAAGAAATAGTTTGCAAAATATCTAAATCATTAAAATTTCAAATTTGTATGTGTGTATATATTTAGTCCCTATGGTCCTATGGGTTAACTAGCAGGACAGACTGGGCTCTGATGGGTGATGCTTGGGAATACCAGGTGATATGTGGGTGGTGTAATGGATAATGACTCGGAATTGTTAATCGACGAGCAGAATTCCAATTCCAGTTAGTTTTGGTATATTCACTTATGCACAAATATCCTTGGGAAAGGTATGAATTCACCTTTTCTCGCTACAGCTATGGGTTAATTAGTAAGATTTGTATCAATAAATCATTATCTTCTAAAAAAAAAAAAAAAAAACTTTTTTTATAATCTAGAATATTTTCTGGCTTTAAATAATCTGCAATAGGTTGATAAGCTGTAGAAAATGAATCAATCTATCTCAATTTTAAGTTCAATTACTTTATTCAGAATACATTTATTTTTGTATTCCATAGATAAAACCAGAATTTTTTTTAAGTCAAAACACAAATTAGTAATAACTGCAACCATAAAAATACATTGATATGTTGTTTGTAAACACAGTATTCAGACTTCTAGATTTGCTTGACCTAAAGTATTTTTCTTGGATGTTGAGTCTAATGTAAGATCCTTTACCATTGAGATTAGTAAAATGGGAATGCTATCACGTTTATCTAAAATAGGACATCCAAGTGAGGACTTCTAAAAGTGACGGCTCTGAGGGAGATAATGCAGCCATCTTAACTAGTTCTCCAGGGTAAGAGATGATGATGATCAGAAATTTGCTTATTTACTCTTTTTCTAGGGTCATTTGTAACAAAGCTTTCAGGTTTCTAGCTTCATTGCCATAATAAAGATCAACTTTGCATGCTTTTGGATTCTGCTGATTTTCATCATACAGTCTGAAGTGAGCTGCTGTCAATTGCTGTGTGTGTGTGTGTGTGTGTGGAGGGGTCATCACCTCTTAATAGTGGATAGGTTTCTACTTACTTAATGAAGGCATCAGAATAGCTAGCTTTCTTGAGTGACCAAAGATTCCTTTTGTAACACTATTAGGGTGGCTAGTTGTGATTTGCAACACTTGTAAGAACTTGTAGTGGAAAAACACAAATTACACATCTTTAGAGATAACAATTTAAAGCCAGATTTACACAATTATTAGAAAACATATCTCTAACTACACACCAATTTTCATCTGGCTAAGTTACACACACGTTGTTTTGAGGAATGGATTTTTTCTTAATCTGTCATATTTTTATTACTTAAATGTTATTTTTAGTAGATAGGCATATTTGAGTAAACATTCCGAGAAAAATCAGCAAAAATAGATGAAGGTGTGCATACAGAGGAGTTTTTTTTTTTTTTTTTTGTACATACATGTGTACAAAGTCTGATTAAAACACCCTTTTGGTAACACCCTCTAGCGTTCGTTAGAAGTTCTTTGACAGACAAATTAAATAATCCGACAGAGTTTTTTTTTGGGTGGGGGGGTTCTTTAACTCATTTTATTTTTAAAATGTCTGCGAATTCTTTTTCTTTACAGGGGTGGTCGATCACTCAGGGAACAATACATCGTTCCACCCAATACTCCTGCCGTCCAGACATTTGCTTCACAATTAACTGAAGACAATGAGGACTTTGCCAGCCGCGACCGTTATCATCAGTCCGAAATTGTCCAGGGAGAGAATTTCGATGAATATGATTAACACTTACCTCCCTTGATTAAACGTCATATGCGCAAGTTTACAAATGGTTTGAACTCTATAATCTTACCAAATAATTGAAATAACTTTTTCATTTTTGGTAGATTCGATTTCCTGTTTCTATTCTTTCTTAAGGAAAAACGGGAGATAAGCAAGAAAAAGACTTAATGCACTGAAGTGTTTAGTACTATTTTTATGCTTGTGATTTTTTTTCTTGAAAGTTTACTTTTCAATTATGAAGAAATTCTTCTTTAAAATTGGGAATTTTTTCTTCTTTGCTTAAATATTTTGTTATTTCTGTTATTTCACATTGAAAATTTTATCTGTTTAGTGAAACTGCTGTTGAGAGATTCCATGTACATTTTGTTATATGCATTTATCTGTATATTATAATTCTTCTAGATCAGTGTTTCTCAACTTTTTTTTACTTCAGGATGCACTTGTAGAATAACTAAAACTCTTTAAATTTTAATAAGGAAATAATTAGTCATAAAATTTTAAAATCTGAAACTTTGTTTTAACATTCCCAAAGAAGATTATTGGTACAGTTTTCATTTAAAGGGATTTGTGAAGAATCTTTATTTATTTTTTTTTTTTTTTTTTTTTAGAGAGGCTGATAATGACTGATTTAAATACCTTAAGGAAGGCAAAAGGGAAAGGATTATTTACTCCTTCTTAAAGATTAAGGAATTTAGCATCCAGTTTAAAATATCAAATGGCAAAGACTTAAACATGGAAGCTATGTGATTGGTGTTTATAGCTTTTTTAAAATAAATTTTCTTTTAAATATAAAAATAATTCATAAATTACTCTTCTGTTAACTTGAGACAAACCTTTCAGGGCACACTAGCCCAACCTTTTGAGAAACACTGTTCTAGATATACAAGATTTATATCTTTTGTATTTTATATATATATATATATATATATATATATTTGAAGGTATATATTAGATATACATAATATGTATATCATAATCATGTACTAATTATATAAAAAGAGGAGCTGCTCTTCTCCTTCATTAATTAATATAAATTGGCTGTGTGTACAAATATTTTGGGAACAGCTGTCAAATATTTGTCTCTCATTACTTGAATTATTCCAAAGTCAATAATTGTATTTGATATTCTTTAGTACGATACAAAACTGACATTTTTAAAAAAAAATTTAAACAAAACTTTGTAGAAAGCATATCATAGGTCATCAATATTGGCTTAACAAAATGGTGAATTTTCTAAATATTTAAATGTTTGTTTCACAATTTTTTTAGTATCCTCATTTTTGTTGTTTTTATCACAGTGTCTCAACTAACAATTTCTTAGTCTTCTTCAGATGTTTGTTGCCTCTGGTATTCTTTGAGTGTCTCTTATTAAAGAAAAAAAAATCTTTTTTTTTTTTTTTTTGTCTAATGTCTGTATCATTTTGTTTTTATCACAGTGCTTTAACAAATATGTTTTGGCTTTCCTTAGAGGTATGTTGTATCTAGAATTTCTTGAGTATCACCCAGTTTATATGAACAGTTTACAGATCAAACTTGTAAATCCTTGTGTTCATGTGGGGAATGTTTTAGGCCAAACTGAAAAACAAGCACAGGTATTTTTGGAAACTGGAGGCCTTTAATGGTTATTATTTTAAATTATTTTTGTTAATGCTTTCCTGAACACTGGATTTTATATAATATTGAAGCTCCTTATACTTGGTTTATTTATATTGTTTTGTAAATGAAGGGGAAGAAGTTAAAGATGCTATTCCCTTTGAAGTTAAAATAATGGTCAAGGAGCAATGCTGGAAAGTGCATATATTGTTGTAATGTTTTTCACACTTGAGAGATATTTACCTTTGTGGTGTTGAGTTGATAGTCATTGTGGAGGATCTCTTGATGAGTGAAGAAAGCTTATGAAAATGAAGATGGTATCATAACTAATAATAAGCAATTGACCTATTTACAATCATGTTCAATTGCAATAGGCTGCAGTCTACCTGAAGTAACATTTAGAAAGTGCTGCAGTTCATAGTAGTGATAGCAGTGTGCTTTGATGGTTACAGTATTTTTGTGCTGAATGACTCTTGTCATCCAATCTGTGGAACTATTGGCTGTGCACCAGTTGTATTATTATTATTATAAGGCTAAAAGTGAATTGGAGCAAAGATCAGAATTTGTGAAAGCTGATTGGTCTGAAAATATATTCAAATATTTTATATCTAACTCTGATTAGTTAGAATACTACACACTGCCATACTATTAATTTTCAAAAATTTATTTTGGCTCTCTTTCATAGAATGCACATTACCATAATGGTCTTTTGCATTTTATTTTAATATGATGCTCTTTCTATTTTTATGTATGTATATATATATATATATATATATATATATATGTGTGTTTGTGCATTTGTTTGTTTTGGGAATTTTTCAGTCTTACCCAAGAATTTCAACTTTACATAATTTGTAAAAGCTGATTGGTCAGAAAATATATTTAAATTTTCTATATCTAATTCTGATGAGTTAGCACAAGCTGTACTGTAGGACCCTATCCATTTAACAAAGATTAATTTTGACTTTCATAGTATGCACATTACTCTTTTGGTCTTTTGTATTTTATTTTGAAGTGCTGATCTTTCTTTATTGCATGTGAATTTTGTTTTGTTTTGGAATTTTTCAGTCTTGCCTAAAAATTTCCAACTTGATCCTAAGACTTTCATATTTGAAATGATGTGTCTAGAAAAGGATAGCAAGAAGGACATAAAAACTGGACATGACATATAGGGATGCGGAAATAGGCAGAAAATGACATTTGACAATGGCATGGAACACAATAGATACAAACACTCAAGGAAGGCCAGACAGTTCATGGCAGAAATGCTTAAAAAAAAATAATAATTAGTTTAAAGAAAACCATATACAATAATTAAATATACTTTGTCTAATAAAATTCAGATAAAAATTCTTATTTCAAAATTTAAAAAAGTCCCTAAAAAGACTACTAGTTAGACATTGGGGTGGGATAATGGTTAACGCACTTTCAGTAAAGATTAAAGAATATACTAACTTAACTGATACAAACAGTAAACATGAGGATATTTGATGGCATGTTGAAAATTCTTTTTCAGAATACCATTAATTTCCATGCTTGTTAGCATTATATACATTTGGGCAAACACAAAAAATGTTAATTAAATTCACCAATTCCTGTTGGCTAATTTAATCTTATTTAGATGATTTAAATGAAATATTTTAATTCTCAGTATAATTCTTTTGTTTACTAATTTTGAATGTTTTTGGTGCTTGTCATCCATTTTTATGGATAGTGGAACTGAACTTGTTTCGTAACAGAAAAATTTACATTTTTATTTTGTATTTCATAGAATTGTCCCTGTAATTAAATAGATAAACTATTTTACACTATTTACATTGTTTAGACTGATGTCCTCATGTTTGTCACATTCACAATGTTTTGGCTGTTGTACACTGTGCTCTTCGTGAATATGACAACAAAGATGAGGATAACAGTCTCAACAGTGTAAATGGTTACAATACCTGAGAGATATAGCAAACTGGTGTTTAAGGAATAAACAGCTGAAAATTAGATGATATATACCAAATGTTAAACACAGCAGAAATGATAACTAGATTAATTAAAAACAAACAACTAATGCTACTAATAAAGATGAGTTAAAAATTTAAGGAAGGGTAGATAGTGTTACCAATGTCTGAAAGAATACTGAAAAGGGTGCTGGAGATTTAACGAGACTTACTCTCAGTCAGTCTTTTGTAATAATCACCAGTCATTTGGTGTGAAAGTGAAAAATGCATAGAAAAATAAAATAATAGAGTTGGATAAATAAAATAAAATAATGGAGTTGGATAAATTAATTCAGAAACTGTGAGAAGGTATGAAATATAACAATTCGATTTACATTAGCAGATGAAGCATTGTCATTAAACTTTTTTTTTATTAATAGTTCTTTCATTTTAATGTATTTTTAAATTGTTTTTTTTTGTTTTGTTTTTTCAATTATTTGGAGCACTGTTCCTATAGCTGTGAATAAACAGAAGAGATTGGGAATAAAGTATAAGGTTTTGGTGAAATTTGAACTTTTATTCCTTTTTGCTTGGGAAGCTTGTCTTATTTCAAATGTATGTTGTCTACTGGTGATTATAGAATGAGGAATAATTAAGTCTAATTAATGAAAAATTAATGAGAACTTTGGAATAAGTAAAAAAAGTAATAAGTAAAGAAATACAATAATGTTTCTTGTGATTGTTTTCTAAAATGTTCAGGTTCTCATCAACTGAAAAAATGTCAACTATTTTGAAACAATTCTTATTCTATTGTTTTTAATATAGGATTAAAGAGATTACTTGAGAAAATTGAATTTAAAAAGCACAAACCATATGGAATAATTGTTTTTATATATATATATATATACACACACACACACACAAATATAAAAGTGGACACTGAGGTCAACACCCAGTAGCAAAAGTCTGTTTCATGCTTAAACACAATCTTTAGGCTTGACAATTAACATTTAAGCATGAAACAGACTGTGTTGACCTCAATGTCCACTTTTATATTTATATATTCTCTATCCCTGATATTGAGCACTTTAACTCATAAATATAGCATACCTTAAAACTATATTTTTGTTATATATATGGCTGGTTAATGTCATTTTATTAGCACACCTGTCTGCTAAGGCAGCTAGCCAATCCCTGTGGCAGGTACCTGTTCAGGACACACATGCATATACATATGTAAATTTCCAGATATAACTAAAAATATATCTGTAAAAGGACAATATGAATAATAAAGACAAAAGAAAAACTTATCTTAGTTGATGCATTTCACTTTGATAATGTCCATCAGAGTATGAAAGGCTTTATCTAAGATAAGTTTTCCTGTTGTCTTTATTATTTTTATATATATATATATATATATATATATATATATATATATATTCTCAGAATTAATCTGTAGAAAAAAAAAATATGTATAAATAA